TATATATATATATGTGTGTGTATATATATGTATATATGTGTGTGTATGTATGTATTGATTTCAGAGAGGAAGGGAGAGGGAGAGAGAGATAGAAACATCAGTGACGAGAGAGAATCATTGATTGGCTGCTTCTTGCATGCCCCAAACTGGGGATGGAGCCTGTAACCCAAGCATGTGTCCCTGACCGGAATCAAATCTGGGACCCTTCATTTCCCAATGCGCTATCCACTGAGCCAAACCAGCTAGGGCTACCTATCACATTTTACATGTTACAGCACCTGCTTTTTCCCCCTCAGATCATTTTTCACCATCTGAAGCGATCTTGTACATTTATACATTTACTAGCATCATGCCTTGTCCCCCTTCAATAGCAGAGAAACTTCATAAACAGGGACATTGTCTTCCTGTTCTACTCTATTCCTAGTTCAGGTGCTCAGCTTGAATAAATGAATGAATGAATGAATGAATGAATATATGCTAGAGGCAAGTATCTGGTTCAAAAGACCATTTAGGATGGGCAGTCAGGCTTCCTTGGAGAAAGGATGCCCTAATTTAGACTTACAGAATGAATAGTGAAGGCAGGGCTCAGTGTAAAGGGAAAGTGGTGAAAGACTTGATAGGCAGGATCCCCAAATTGGGAAAGCTTGATTTGTGTGCCATTCTACGGGTATTGGGTTGGCCCTGAAGAGTTAGAGTCCAGATACTCTTTCCCAGAACAGGTTACGTCACTAAGTAGGATATCCTAGGTACATACAACCTGAGCTGCTAAAAGTGTGGGGAAAAACTGAGTTTATCCATACCAGTAAGACTACCAGGCAGATGCCTGTTACTATCAGGAATAGTCCAGCCATTATGTTCTCTTAGAATTCATTGAGCATCCTTTGGACCTTTGCAATGAGGAGAAATCCAACTTGACAGATGAAAAGAGGATGAAGAAAGTGACTTATGGCCAATTTCATTAAGAGCATCATGTCAGTTTCTTGCAGCCAAGCATTCGTAGTGGTGTTTAATGCTAAGAGACCTCCTCTTCCCCCCACCCTGACTCCCCATGTAAGGTGATAGGTTTGGCAAAAGAGGCGTATTAATTCAGTAATGATGTACTAAAGCCATTTGTATTATGAGACCAAATATACCTGGGATCACCATAGATATATGTAACCAAATACAGTTGTAAAATAACTTATTAAACTTTGGCATGGTTCAGACCAAGTGAGCCATTTACTTTTGAAAAAAAAATAATTTAAAAATACTTGGTATATTTGCTTTTTTCCCCCTTAGCTAAATTTTTCCTAAAATTTTCTCCCAAAATTTCTGTATGTCTATATTCCCCTAGGCTTGGTGCAGGCGTGATTGGAATTATCAATATACCTTTGGAGGTCATGGAACCATCTCATAATAAGCAGGAATTTCTCAATGTCCAAGAATATAATCATCTGCTGAGAGTCATGGGACAGTTCTTGGTCCAGTACTGTAAGGACACTGGGATCAGTGAGTATCAGTCATAGTAAGAACTGCTTCAAGGGGATTAACTTGCGTGATTTCTTTAAGCTGAAATGATTGTACTGATTCAGGTAACCACTATCCCAAAGCCCTGAAAGAGAGCTGCATTGAAAACATGAGAGAAATGAGAAGGGAGCCAGTCTCAGAATCTTTCCCATAGTATTATGCGAAAAATAACAAGCAGATTAAAATTGGAGGGCAATCAGAGAGCAGTATGAAGTGGCAGCTGACCATGGAGGAAGGAGTCAGAAGTTTGCTCCAAATAGGCTGAGAGACCCCCAAAGTGTGTCTCAGACTCTACTGTGTAAGAGCACACAGCCCACCTAGACCTGCGTGGTTCCTATAGCATTGTTACATGGTGCCACAGAATAATCATTGTGGGCCCTGGATAATTGTAGATATGTTAAACTTTGTTTTGTGTATCTAACAAGTCTTGAATACATTAGTTCCAGAAAAATGTTGGTTAAAAATCACTAAAATAAATATATTTGGATACTTAAAAAGATAAACTTCAGTTATCTGGAAAATTTGAATTATTCAGATCGCCTCACTCTAGAGATACTTGAACAATGAGGTGGTGTGCTGTGCATTAATTAAATCAACTTCCTGTAAGCTATGCAGACAGGGCTTCATTTATGGAAACAAACAGAAGGCTACTGTGTATTTGTTCAGTGATTTGCATGAAGTATGTATAATTCATGCATATCAAAAATTATGTCTCTACCTTTGAGACAATTTAAAATCTTATTGCTCCACTTGAAGTTGTTATTTTAGAATATTTTATTTTCTTTTGTTCCCACTCTGCTTGGTCCTAAAAGTTTTTCATACCAGTGAAACAAGAAGTAATGCAGGAACTTAGGGTGTGGGGGAGGTGGGGAATAAAAATGAAAATGAACTTGAGGGCACAGATTTCCTGCCAAAGCCAGATTTGCATGTGTTGGTCTAAAACCTGCACAGAGTGTGGTCTGTGGACCAGCATCACCAGCATCACCTGAGAACTTAATAGAAATGCAGAATCATAGGCCTGCCCTAGACCTACTAGGTTAAAATCTGCGTGTTAGCAAGATCTCAGGTGACCTGTATGCACATTAAAGCTTGAGAAGCACTGCTCTGAAAAGTATGCCATGTAATTGTTGTTTAGCATAGGCATACTTCTTTCACATGTATTTTTTTTTTTTATGTGTGGTACTAGGTTAAAATCTGCGTGTTAGCAAGATCTCAGGTAACCTGTATGCACATTAAAGCTTGAGAAGCATTGCTCTGAAAAGTACACCATATAATTGTTGTTTAACATAGGCATACTTCTTTCACATGTATTTTTTTCTCAGACGTGTTTGAAGTTATACTAAACCTAGGAATGACCACATTATTTGACAGGGTTTGCTGAAAACTATAGAATGCATAAAGTGAAGGGATTAGCCAAAAAACATATATATATATTTACATAGACACAGATGACAGTGTGGTGACAGCCAGAGGAAAAAGAGGGTGGGGTAGGTGGAGTTGGGAGGGGCGGGGGGGCGGGGGGGAGGGGAAGAGACTGCCTGTACAGATAATGTTTTATTGAGTTGTACACTTGAAATCTGTATGGTTTTGTGAACCAATGTCACCCCAATAAATAAATTTTTAAATAAATAAACAAGAATACACAGAGTGCAATAAAAATCAAGCACCTACTTTCTGGTCTTTAAGTGCCAGCACGACATAGTACAGAAGGAAAATGTTAAGCATTTGAAAATTGTGTATATTTTCTCTGAAGCCTCTTCCTTGTTTTCCTCATCCTTAAAATAAGGAACTAAGTCTTCAGAAAGAGTTAGACATTGACATTTAAAAGTGACAGGGATTATCTCCATCCAAGTCACATTTACTCAGGACAGTCATGTCAGTCCTGTGGAGGAAGGAGCTTTCTCGAAGCCCCTTTGCCTGGCGTATGTGTGCCCTCCTGAAAATTGTACTCTCTACTCCAGGCTATCACTTGCCAGTCTTCTCCCCTCTTATCTACTCCTTAAGTAACTCCCTATCTCTACCTTATCTACCTGATTTTTTTCAAAACCTTCTCGATGGATGTAATAAGATCCAAAATAAACGTTATATTTGTATTTTAATTATTACTTGGTAATAGCATATTATTTTCCTAATCTCATAATGGTCTATAGATTGATTTCGGCTCCAGGGTGTTTTCACAAAAGATGTTCCTCTGGAAGGGAGGCAGAGTGGAGAAAGGACAGCGAGCATGTGCATTAGTTCACATTCTCACAAC